GGATACAAAGTATACACTTATGATGGATGTTGATTCTCCTGAAGAATTGTTAGTCACAGTACCTTCAGTTAATCGAAATAAGATCGATACATGTATCAATGTTCCTAAAAAAGAGAGTATTACCGAAACAAAAGTGGTATGTTTTTTTAAAATATTTTAGAAATTTTTCTCATAATCGTTTTCTATTATCATTTTCAAAAACTAAGTGGAATTAACATGAAAATGTGTTACTATAGACTACTAGTGTAAGTAATCAGTACAAATTTGATGCAAAATGCTTTATGTAAAATACCACATGTGATATCACTTCTTACACGTAGTATATTGTTAGCAGGACATAGATTGGATTAAAGCATGCTCAATGCACGATTGCTTTGGCGCACACTGATTGACTAGTTCTTACCCAAGCAGCGCCAGTCGATACTTGGAGAACACTAGGATCTTCTCATGTAAAAACTATAAATATACTAACGTTTTTCCTATTATGCTTCTTACTTCCATCTAACCTTGTTATTTGGAATGTAATGTAACATATATTTCCATATGGTTCAGTTATATATAATACTGAAATGTTCAGAGTATATACCATCAAGTTTAGCAATTAATTATAATTTCCATGTATCACTGATGCAAGTTACTTGACCAGTGTTTATCCAGGTATGGTTTTTAGTCATTCACTGTCAAATTGTTTAGTATCGTGCCTAAGTCAGTTTAGCTCAGTGAGGTAATTGTTGAAATCATTTTGTTTTCATTCAACTTGTGCAGCTGAGTTCTATACTCTAACTCGAAATAATTGTTCATATGATGAAGACCACTTCAAGGGAAACATGAGACAACATAGAACAGGAATTAAACTAATTGCCGTAACCAGACAAATAAACTGGATTGACGAAAATATATAATTATCAATAATTCACTTTGAAGAAATACGTGACATTTATCCCACATTTTAACTTTGTTAGGAATCCATTAAATATTTGCCTAATGTAACAACATAATAGTAAACGCAATCCCTTGAAAATGAAATTGGTTGAAACAAACTAGAAACTAAACAGTACTTTTAAAAATTATGTGGTAGGATGATTTTGTACAACAACAAGATTGTTTATACCCAGAATAACACTGTTTACTGTTCAGTGTCCGAATATCTTGTACTAGATATGTGTAGTTATTACCCGGTTTGTGACATATTTTCTGATCTGAAAAATTCCTTTATTCAAATATCTCTTGACAAAGTTAAACGGTTCCCAAATTATACATTGTTGTCTGTTCATATATTCCTATTTTGTAGTCTCGATGAATTGTTCTGTATGTATAAATTAGGTTTCAATAAGTGTATTTTCATGTCCAGCATAAGCTATGTTTGAAGTTTTTCCGGTTATCGTATCTTTGTGCCTTATGAATAATAAATATTCCGTGAAGTTTCCGAAAGCACTTTATGTTTATGGATGTAAAGTTTAACTATGGCATTGACTGACAGATACATATTGATGCCCTCGTGCTTTGTGTAATTCTGTTATCTAAGCTCATTCAGCTGTGATGAAAGATAACCAGCTCACGTACGCATTTTTCATTTCAAATTCTCTATTTTGTATTAATATTTTATTCTTTACCTAATTACCGTAAATCACTGTCAAGTTAGAGAATTTGTAGAGAACCCCAATTAGATGAAGTAGAACAAATACATTTACTTAATTGTCTGTATTTTGACCGGATTCAAATACTGAGTCATTCTTGAATCTTATTTTCTCAATCTGAATGCTTCAATTTTTTTAAAAATATATTATCACTGAGAATAAATTGTCGTGTATGGGTTATGTGGATGAAAATTAAAATTATATACCTCAGGCAACTTATTTTTGTTCTTTCAGTAAACAAACACAATCAGTCTAGTTAAGTAAGCTATCTCTTTCAATCTTGCCTCCATTCTCAACCTTTGATGTATGAGTTCACCGTACAAGTATTATGTTAAGATGTCTTGGTTTTACTTGTAATTGTATGATACTATTATTATTGTTATTTATTTTCGGTTAAACTTATTTTTAGGTAGAACAAGAGGAACTAGATTCAGATAAGATTGATAATTTAATCCATCCTACAACTCCGTAAGTCCCATTGTTTTATTCATTATTTGATAAATTCATGAAACATACACTTATATATCGAAAGTAAGTTAGTTTTTCGATTGAAAACATGTATCAAAACTTATAGTAAACTAACTAAAATCTGTTGCCATTAATTCATATACATGCTCTAGTTACTGGATTAAATCTGTGAGATTAGAAAAAGCCCGATTGGGAGTGTATAAATATCATTATGCTTATATTGATCTTTGCAAACTGGATGATGCTTCAAAAGTCAGAATACTTCTAAGAACTTGGGACTATAGAACATGAACGCTATAGTAATTTCATCCTACCAAAGAATCCAAGAGATTTTTCTTTTGATGCAACGATTGAAATTTTGTCGCAAATCTTTGCTGAACAGTCATCCTTGTTTAATATTCGCTATCAATGTCTCAAGATGACAAAAGCAGGTGATGATGACTGGGTTAAGCATGCGGGTTTAGTAAACCGTGAATGTGAGCGCTTCAAACTATCAGCAATGACAGAAGACCAGTTTAAGTGTCTCGTGTTTGTGTGCAGCCTACAATCTCCGAAGACGCCGATATTAGAACCAGAATTTTGAGTAAAATTGAACAATGTCCGAATATGACACTACAAGAAGTAACCACAGAGTGTCAGAGATTGGTAAACCTAAAGCATGACACCTCGATGGTCGAAAATAATGGCCAGTTGCCATACGTTCATGCTGTAAGCGAGAAGAACAGTTCTTGCTCAAGAAAGGTATCGCACACAGACAATCAGCCTTCATCTCCATGTTGGTCTTGTGGGGGTTGGCATTATAAAAGGTTCTGCCCATATAAGGAACATTGTTGTAGCAAATGTCATCGGAAGGGACATAAAGAAAACTGCTGCAGAAAAGAACCCATAAACGACATTCTTTGAAGCCCTACTCGAAGAAATACAGATATAGTGCTCCAACCAACAAGATATTGGTATCACATAACAGAGCACGAAGTTGCCACCAAAGAAAGTATGTGACCTTGATATTAATAAACACCGTACCCGCCTTCAGCTGGACACAGCTTCTGATATTACTTTAATCAGCCCAGAAACATGGAAGAACATTGGGAGACCCACAGTTTTCCCAACAACACAGCTGGCACACAGTGCATCTGGGGGGAAGTTGAATATTGTTGGAGAAGTGCCATGCACTGTTTCTAAAGGTACTATAACAACAAATGCAACAGTATATCTTACTAAGAAGCCAGCACTAGACTTAATGGGGTTGGACCTTATAGAAACACTTAAACTAGCAGATCATTCTATCAACAGTATCTGCAGTACAGACAACACCCCAGAATGGAATCAGAAAAACGCCATGCTACATAAACACCAAAACGTGTTTAGAGAAGGATTGGGAGAATGTACGAAAGCCAAAGCACTGTTAACTCTAAAGCCTGCAGCTACTCCCGTTTTTCGACCTAGGAGACCCGTACCATATGCTGCTCTACCAGTGGTTGAACAAGAACTAGAACGACTTCAGAAACTAGGTGTCATTGAACCAGTGAATTTCTCAGAATGGGCCGCACCGATAGTAGTAGTAAAGAAGACTAATGGTAGCGTTCGTTTATGTGCCGATTACTCAACCGGGTTGAATGAAGCCTTAGAAACTCATCAGTATCCATTACCCTTACCTGAAGATCTTTTTGCTAAACTGAACGGAGGTAAGCTTTTTGCAAAGTTGGATTTATCAGAAGCTTATTTACAAATCCCTGTTGCTGACGAGTCTAAAAACCTGCTTACCATAAACACACACAAGGGTCTATTCCGGTATAATCGATTACCCTTCGGAGTCAAGACGGCCCCATCCATATTTCAGCAAATAATGGATACTATGCTACAAGATGTTTCAGGTGCTGCAGCTTACTTAGATGATATAATAATTATGGGAGTAGATAGAGTAGACTTAGAAAAGAAGCTTGACCAGGTGCTGACGCGAATAGCCGAATATGGACTTCGACTTCGTCCAGAGAAATGTGACTTCTGTATGCAAAAAGTACGCTACCTTGGGTTTATAATCGACAAAGATGGAAGAAGACCAGATCCGGAGAATACCCAGGCAGTGAAAACTATGCCCAGACCGACGGATGTCCCCACACTACGATCCTTCTTGGGACTAGTTAGCCATTATGGAGCTTTTATTCCGAACCTTCATCAATTACGTGCCCCCTGAATAACCTTCTGGTGAAGAATGTAAAATGGAGTTGGTCTGCAACTTGCCAAGCCGCTTTCGATGAAATCAAGAAAGTACTAGTCTCGGATCTGCTGCTCACCCATTACGATCCATCCTTACCCATTGTAGTGGCATCAGACGCATCAAACTACGGCATTGGAGCAGTTATTTCTCACATCATGCCAGATGGATCCGAGAAAGCGATATCACATGCGGCTAGATCGTTAACGTCAGCAGAACGTAACTATAGTCAGATCGAGAAGGAAGCATTGTCGATTATCTTCGCTGTCAAGAAATTTCACAAGATGATATTTGGACGTCAGTTCACCCTATTAACTGACCATAAACCATTACTAGCCATCTTTGGGTCGAAGAAAGGTATACCTGTATACACCGCAAACAGATTGCAACGTTGGGGAACTACACTCTTGGGTTATGACTTCAAGATCAAGTATCAGCCCACTACTGATTTTGGACAAGCTGACGCTTTATCCAGACTGATTGGTTCACAAGTAAAGCAGAAAGAAGACACTTTGGTGGCAGCAATCGAGACGGAAACAGAAGTACATCGAGTTTTGGAAGACGCAGTTGATGGTTTACCGGTTACTTTCAAGGCCATCAAAGAAGCCACGGAAAATGACAAGACTTTAAGAGAGGTTAGTGGTTATCTTCTCACCAAGTGGCCGAACCGTCGTTTTCAAGGAGAAATGCTACAATATTTTCGCCGACGGGACTCACTTATGATGGTCGACTCATGTATTATGTTTGGCGACAGAATTATTGTTCCAAAAGTATTACGCTACAAGGTTCTGAGACAATTCCACAGCGGTCATCCTGGTATCAATAAGATGAAAGCATTGGCTCGAAGCTACGCATACTGGCCTACGATGGATCAAGATATCGAAAACAGATGCCGCAATTGTTCATCGTGCCTACAAGCAGCCAAAAGTCCAAGCAAGTGTGAACCGCAACAATGGGAAAAGCCGAATAGTCCCTGGGAGAGGCTGCATGCAGACTTCGCCGGTCCAATACGAGGAAGAATGTATCTAGTCATAGTAGACGCGCTCACAAAATGGCCACAAATCTACGCCATGGTGAATTGCACAGCCAGTGAAACAATCAGCAAATTATCCGACCTGTTTAGCTGCTTTGGAGTTCCGCAGACGTTAGTGACCGATAACGGCTCACAATTCACTGCAGAATCATTCAAGCACTTCTGCAACGTTAATGGCATTGTGCACATACGATCTCCACCGTATCACCCTCAATCGAATGGCCAGGCAGAGCGCTTCGTGGATACATTGAAGAGAGCACTTCTGAAAGGGGGAGGAGAAGGGACAACCGGGCAGGTGATCGCAAAATTTTTAACATCCTACAGATCCACCCGAACCCAAATGTTCCAGACGGCAAATCTCCCGCGGAAGCCATGTTTGGAAGGCGCATTCGAACCGTCTTCGATGCCATGTTGCCATCCAAACTAGTGGATGAGCGTAGTCACGATCCAAGTATCCGAAACTTCAGTGTTGGCGACAAAGTTTACATTAAATCCTACATCGGGAAAACCGATGGGAGCCGGGCGAAGTTGTGCAAAAACTGGGAAGAGTACTGTACAGAGTTCGAGGAGCTTTTGGGACATGTATACTTCACACAAATCAAATCCTTAAGACAAAAAACGGTGCAGACTCGAAATAACCGGCCGATTTTCCCGTTAGATTTAATCTTAGACGCACCAATGCCACAAACGCCCAGGAACATTGAAAAGAAGCCTTGGACAAGGGAAACGACAAGAATAATGGGACGCCGTCGCTGCCCAGTCGTCAAACTACAAGTAGATCCCAGAAAGAAATCTTATTCTGGGGAGGTGTTGGGTCGGCTTCCGGAGAACTTCAATGGAGCCTCCAGAGGCCCAAAAAGGAGCCAAAGGGTCCCAGCCAATCAGAGTATGATGGAACGTTCGAGAATTCCAGCGTGGCGTGCTACCATTGGTCGGTAGCATAATATGACGTTAACGGATTGGCTGAAATAAGATGTTGATTTAACAGATGCCAACATCTATAAATACCCTTGATTTTCTGTACCAGAATGAACCTGGGAATAAAGCGTTTTCTCTCCTACTTGTGTCTTCTCTCTGGAGTTCAAGTTGCTGTGTAGTTCTAGTCTGCGGGTTACGGGAATAGCTTAGGATTCGTATATAGCGTTCAACTTACACGACTTATCAGCTTCTGCTTAATATGTGTTTATAATTTCTATCTACCTATCAAAGTCCAATCTCACTCTAAATGCTAATACAGTTTATCAAAAGCTGTCACTAACTTTTTTAAAAGATCATGGGGAAGGAGACGATAATGTTGTATTTTTAGTCACAATTATTGGTAAGTTTTGTAACTGTCTCTTCTGATTTATAACTCACTCTTCTTTATTTTGGGATCTATCATATCACGTGGATGTTCAAACTGTGTTAATCAATCACTGGACTCCTTTCCTATTTGCATCATAGATGAAAATCTCATGTTTCAATTACTAAATCAACATTTCATATAATCGTGCAATTATTATCCCAAGCAATTACTCATGTTCATTCTTATTTTCACGTAAAGCATCTTTTATAATTTCACACAACATCAGCATTAGTTAAACAGTGATGTATAATCAGAAATAACAATCATCTTAGAGACACCCAAATCACATTAGTGTTAGTTAACGGTTAGAAATATGGATGATATATGTATGTATAATTAGTAAAATATATTTTTGAGACTATATCGTAAAGAAAGTAGGATGCTCTTGATTTAAAGTGTTGGAATTATATTATTGGTTATTCGTAGCACACAAAATAATCAGTCATGATTCAGCAGATATGTTTATTATTTTCGCCCTGTGTTTAAATTAATAAATTTAATGTCAACAAGTTTTACACTACAAATACAATGATAGATTTGATAGCGCATTTTAACAGGTGATCGACTAGGAATACTTCAGTTCATATTATCATCTTGTTCAATATATATATCGAGCTCTGAATTCATTATTAATGAATGCTATCCAGAAATACTCACCTATATATTCACTTAGTCACCACACGTGATATCATAAATCAAATGTATTATGATGTTTACTGATTTATCATTTACTTTAAGTTAATGACCAGCTTTATAAAACTGTATTTGATTTGCCATGTCTTTTTTTCATTTCAAATCACTAGAGATATGGATGCGTTTGAAACTTATGGTCTATATGAATTAGTGAATATATTACCAAATAACGTGAAAAATTTATTAACTCAATCAATCCCATTAGATGAAGATATTCAAGAAGATTCTATTCTATGTACAATTCATCGCTTGATATTTGAACATGATAAATATTCTGAAAACTACATGGAAAGTTTAAATTTATTCAACTTGGGCGGGAACCATAATTATTTTCTAACTGAATTATTAAACCAAGCTAATCCAGCATTTTTAAATAAATCCGTCTCTATATTATTAAAATATAATGATACTGAACGAATTCGGTAAGTAGTTGATGACATATATGTAGTTTGTTAGATGGTTTGTATTGTTTAAATTCTGAGATCAATATGTAAGCTTTTATGAGCAACTTTTTGCATACGCCCCAGTGACTTAAGTCAGTTGGCACAAATTTCGATCTGTACTATCAGATATTGTCACACTTCGGTGAATGTGGCTGATAATATATTACATAACTTTGTTTATAGTGATAAATAGAATCTTGTTTATCAGCATTTTAAACATTGGTTAAACTTATTTGTTACAATAAATAGCTACATAGATACATAATCGTTATGTTGTTTTCATAAAATTCATGTACATAAATATTCATAGTTACGATAGTGGGTATATCCCGATTCTTACATCACAGCATTCCTGTTGTTAATTCTCTTGGATAACATCTTCTGGTGTTTTAAACATGTGAACATACAAAGAAATGTGTTTTTTCTATGAAGTTTTTGTTCACTACACCAATTATTCAAAAGTATCATGAAATTCAATAGTTTCAACCTCTTGAACAGTAGGATTAATTCTTTTTGATTAGTAGATTAATTCGAATTTTCTTTTCAGGGATATTTGTATCCTCTCATATACTTTTACTCATATATTTATATCAATAAAAACCCACTTAGTTCTATAACTCTACGTCTTTGGATATTTTTCATAGGAGTTTTACTTCTACTTTTGCTAACCTCGTTTGTCATTGTTTTTCTACACTTTTAGACCTACGAAATCCCTTGATTTTATAACAGCATTATTCACTTTACCTCGTCTTACTTACCCTGTCCCACGCGCAGAGCCACGAGATCGTCCTGACGCTTCTGTTGCTTTGACCTCAATACATCGTTTGACGCAGATAGAAGCATGCAAAATTATTGAATATGTTATTATGGAAGCATATGAGTCAATCAAATTTAATGAGAGTGAACGTTTTTTGGACTGGGATGTAAGTTCACTTCGGTATTTTTCATATGAAATTGGCTTCATATTCCAGACTTTGTACAACGTCATTATTCTAACACGTTCTCTCAATTTCAGTTCTTTTTAGGCTAAGCGTTAACAATAATTTTACTCCCACTTAAGACAATTTCGGTTTACTGGTCTGTTAGCTTAAGAATTAATGTAAGTGATCAGCAGTTGTCAGTAAAACGTCTCTTTTTTTTCTTAGGAAAAGCCAGTTTTCCTTCAAATAAGATTTATGCGGTTATGTGCATCTAACGGCTTCGTGCATTAATAATAACGATAATATGTCTTAGTTACTAAATATTTACAATTTACATTGAATATAGCGAAGTTCTCTCCAATTATGTTATGCAATTGATATGCCTTTAGTTGACAGGTATTTTTTTAAAATAGAAAAGCTCGCAACAGAATGACTTAAAATTTGTTTCTTTCATCAAATATAAATATTTTGTAGTTTGTATCACGGACTGACCTTAGTTAAACAACTGTTTATAAACCTTTATACAAATATAAAGTGGTTTTTAAGAAAATCTGACATGTATTTAATTTTTAAAAGTGTTTGTAACCAATTCGAACAGTAAGGGGAATGTGCTAGTCACATTACTTAGTAATTATCATTCTAAATAAATATTTATTGTTTTCCGCATGTTTTGATTTTCATATGTATATTAGTGAGCGTTCACTACCCGCGAGTTCAAAACTGGGTCAAAATATATGTTTAGTGATCTATATTCAATGGTTCTTCAGATATTATTCTTGTTTGTTCAACTTCACCCGAATTTTTGTTCAGCGATTTACTTACGCCGTCCACTAGCATTCTCTATCCAACTCTGTCCTAAGCGACCCCTTCCAGTTTGTATCTATTCTCTAAATGTCTGTTTCAAATTTTCGGCTCACTGTGTTCTTTGATCTTCTTTTTCGTTTCCTCTCAGGATAGCAAATTAGCGCTTGCCTCCTGATTCAGTTTGATGATGTCCGTAATCTATATCCTATCCACCTCCAGCGTCTTTTCCTAATTTCTTTCTCAACTGGGAGCCGGTTTTTTCTCTCATATTAAGCTGTTGCTGATGGTATCCGACCAACTGACATTGAGTATCATGCGTAGACAATTGTTTGTAAATTCTTTTACTTTTTGATGATGGTTGTGGTAGTTCTACTAGTTTCAGCTCCATACAACAGACCTGTCTTGACGTTTGTATTGAAGGTGCTGACTTCGATGTTGGCTGACAGATTTTTTGAGATCCACATGTTCTTCAGTTTTAGGAATGCTTCCCTTGCTTTACCAATCCTCGCCTTCACGTCTGCATCGGGTCCTCTTTGTACATCGACGATGCTTCCCAGGTACGTGAAAGATTCCACAACTTCCAGAACTTCTCCATCAAGTATGATTGAGTTGGTCTTGCTTTTTCCTTTGTGTGTGTTGAGGCCTACTGCTGCTACGCTTGTTTGCTTCATCTGCAATTGTTCGTGTGTTTGGGACAGAAGGGCCAGGTCATCTGCGAAGTATAAATCGTCTAGTTGATTCTGAGCTGTCCATACTTCCCCTGAGTTGTGAGGTAATGACAATCCAACCAACCACCAGAAGAGAAAGGGAGAGAGTAAACAGCCTTGTCTGACTCCGGCCCTCACTTAGGATGGATCTGTCAGCCGTCTTCCGTGCACGACTTTGCAGTGCAGTTCGTCGTATGAATTCTGGATGTTGTTGAGCCTTTGTACTGCCATTTGTACAGTTCAGTGCTTATTTAGCTTCAATTTGGTCTTGGCAATCACTAGGTGTACCTTTGTTTAAATAAAAAATATTGGTAATAAACCGATAACAAATGCGATAATACTGTAATCACTTCAAATTTGAGTAAATGATCGATTATGAGAAAGTTAATTGCATATAATCTTGTATTAATCGCAAGTGTCAATTTAACATTCTTGTTTAGTTAGAGTTGTTCTTAACAAAAAGAAAAAAAGTGGTTTATACTGTATGTCAAGTGTGACAAAATCTTACAGTCACTTGATTGAAATTTTCTCTTTTAAGTCGTTGAATGTTCCTCAACAGATATACCTACTTGTGTTTATTTTTGCTACTTAACATTGTCAAGTTTCTGGTATCATTTGGTGATTAATAAAAATATAGTCTAAAACATGTTTTCACAAGTGCTGGATACCTAGATTTAGATATACATTGTATATTCGATAAAGATTCAAATCCTAGCTGCCATAATTTCAACGCAAACTTCTAAAACCTTGATTTATAAGTATATGTTTCATGAATTTCACTTCTGGTCATTAACTATTCATAATTCATCAAGTTGATTTACAGATGTTTCTATTATTCTAATGAGTCATTTTCTTGTCTGTTATCTTCTCACAGACCCTGAACAATTTATATTCAAAACGCGTTCCACTACTTGATATTGCGGTTGTACAATGGTCAGAATGTTGTATATTGTTACTAGAAATTATAAGTGGATTGACTAACATCTCTGATGCTAATGATAAGCACGCTTATGATATCCACTTGTTTAATTCAATGATAATGAACAGTAATGTTATTAAACGTGCAAAATCTAATGAAATTTGGTCTATTCTTGCATTTCGGTTAATGTTATTCTTATATTTTCGACGACCCGGGATATCATACTTATTC